TACCATAGTCCTTACAAAATTACAAGAGCATAGTCCATATGGAGTATTCCAAGAAAAGAAGTCCATAAAGAATATACCATAGAACAGTCCATAGAAAATAGTCCATGCACAGTCCTTAGGAAAAATCCCATAAGTCCAAAAGTAATCCAGCAAAGCATAGGAACCAGTCCATGTAGGTAGGCCACCAGTCCGTCTCGAAAGACATTAGGGTGAGTCCCAAATGGCTGAATAGTAGGTCACGAATGACTGAAAGGTCGGTCTTGGAAAGACAATGTCCATAGGCAAAAAGTTCCTTTTTCAAGAGTAACTGGCAAGGGCTTAATGCACCTTCCCACGATGTCATCCAATCAGAGTTCGTTACTAGGCAAACAGTCCTGTTGCATCACATGACTTCTTTCTCATACGCACCAGATGTTATTTGGGTTACGGTGGTTTATCAAAGAGTCACAACAATTCCCATCTATCTAATCACACCGAGTCCTTTCTCAGACTCTCAGAATAACATTCTCTCTGCTCGCCTAGAAAACAACTTGTCAGCATAGCAAAGATACTTCATACAAAGAAACAAGATGGAACCTCTCTGGCTTATTTCATAATTAGAAAACCCATATGCCTTAAAAGATTTTAACTCAAAAACCCATCTCATCACAAGGTGGACACCTTGTTACCCTCCAGAGGTTATTGGATGGCAACTCCCAGCATTGCCCACCATTAAATGTGCTAGCTAGGACTGCTGGGAATTGCAATGGGACAGTATCTGGAACACCTCGCTTTGCCTACAGCTGATACAGGGACTTGTGGGGCTTGCCACCCACGGTACCAATGTGTGAAAGTGTGAAAACAGGAAATGTGGCCCAATTAATGGCTTCAGAGGTAACCGGAAGAGAATCATAGAATCAAAGAATATTGAAGTTGGAAGGGCCATCAAGTCCAACCCCCTGCTCGATAAAGGAATACAAATCAAAGGATATCTGCCAGGTGGTTGTCTATGTTTCTCTTGAATAACCCCAGTGCTGGAGCATTCACCAACTCTCAAGGTCATTGGTTCCACTGTCTTATTGCTTTAACAATTAGGAGGTTTTTCCCGATATTCAATCCAAATCTGGCTTCCTGTAACATGAGCCCATTGTTGCTCGTCCTGCATCTATTGAATTTGGGCAAAAGCTGGGAAATATTTCTAACTGTTTGGAATATACGTCTTGTGTCTATTGAATCTGGGCAAAAGCTGGGTAACACTTCTAACTGTTTGGAATATACGTCTTGTGTGCTATCAAGTGGATTCTGACTGACGGCAAGTCAAGTAAGGTTTTCAAGGTATCTGAAGGGTTTAAGGAGTAGTCCACCATATGCCACTCTGCAGTGAGTTTCCATGGCCAATTGAAGATTTGAATCCAGATCTCCTGCTGCTAGTCCATGCATAAAATTACATAAAATACATTGTAAGAAATGTATGAAGACCAAAAATCCATTTTCTTACCTAGCTGAGAAACTGTAGAGGTTTGATAAATGTTTCTGTAGGTTACTTAGCGCTCTGGAGAACTTGGCTTCTGTCCAACTTAGCATCTGCTGTGTTGCCTATTTTCAGGATAAGAAGAAAAATAATATTAACCCAATGCTTCAATAGTGTTTTTTTTTTAAAAAAAGAGATAACAACACTTTTAAAATTCAAATGAGATTTTTACAAAAACTATGAGAATTTTGTTTGAAAAAACAGCAAATTAAAATGAATCCTGAGGCAACAAACCTGCATCATTTCCCTCAACATGTATTGGAGGTAATACATGTCTCCTTGAATAATTTTAAGTGGGGAGGGGATGAGACTTGAGGGCATTCACATTTATTAGCAGTTGTGGACTGTGTTTAGTAGGCACAACAGTGGGAGGGGGGATCCAGATCAGAAGAAGGGGGGAGGTTAACCCTTTTTCTCCTGCTGTGGGTCCTAGTCTTTTGTGTGTGTATGTGTGTACACGAGCATGCACACACACACACACATATACACAAACAAGACTGGGACCCACAGCAGGAGAAAAAGGATTAAAGCTAGAAATATATATATATTCCTGAACCACAGGTGTCAGCGTCTACTAGCCACTGGCCATCCTGGCTGGGAGGATTCTGAGGCACAGTCCAAAGAAGAACCTTTCTAGCTCTGACATGAATATTGAATAGTCACATCTGATGTGACTCTCAGATTAAAGAAGGGAAATATCAAACCTCCTCCATGCAAAGCATCTGACTTTCCACTGGTAAATAGCCTGTGATCTCTTTTATAGCACCTGTTTAAAACCAGGCAGGCAGTGCTTCTGTTCCCAGTGCTGAGGTACAGGTAGATGAAATAGGTTTAAACATCAACCCCTACCCAAGTGAAGTATTGCTTAGAAATACCAACCACATCTAAGCCAACTTTCAGGGCATTTAGTGACATCTGGATTGGTTTCATCAGCCACACATCCTTTACAACTGTTGGCACCAAAGCCTGGAGTTTCTTCAGGGACGCTTCCGTCTTTTGCTGCCACACTTCATCCAAAGATTTCAAAGTAACATCATAATAAGCCTCCTTCATGGTTGTTATTGGCTCTTTTAAAAAAGCACACACACAAATAAGAAATACAATAATGGGGGGGGGAGATACCCATCCTGTTAAATATCAACTCCCCCCCCCCCCCCCGCCGTATCCATTTTGGCCTCCTACTAATACAGTTGAGAACAAAACAAGAAGGGTTATTAAATCTCATTCATGTTCTAGGATGCTCAAGTAATGTTACATAACTGGCATAAAAAATGGCAGCAAAATCATGCAATCTGTGTGACTCCAGCTAAAATCAGAATTCAAATCCCAATATCCTCCACACTGCCTAACCACAAAAGTGGGGGAGGGAAAGGAAAAAAAGGAGGAATTAGACTTTGGGAAAGCAAAAACATATTGAAAATCTGCACTGCAATTCCCACAATCCCTCATCCACGGTGTGACCACTCGTGGGGGATTCTGGGAGCTGTAGTTAAAAAAAAAGGTATCTTTCTCACCATCTGCGAGGAATTTCCTGGCAGAACAGCCTGCCTCAGAAGCTTAATAACTGTAAGGTGTGTGCATGTTTGGCTTAGAATAAGGTAAAGAACCAGAGAGAGAGAGAGAGAGAGAGAGCGAGCAAAGACACAAAGATGGAGACCAGCAACTCTGGAACTTTGTATTTCAATTCAACTCTTGAACTGTGAACTTTTTGACACAAAGATGGAGACCAGCAGGACTAGAGGAACTCTGGAACTTTGTATTTCTGGCTATTAAGCCCTCATTGTGAGAAATTCAACTCTTGAACTGTGAACTTTTTGAACTATGCTTTTAGCAAGTTGACAAAAACCATCTGCTGCTAATTGAGGGAGTAGAGCAAACTCAGGGGTTAAGAAGACCCTGGTACAGGGATCCTCCTGAGCAAGCAGAATCCACATCTGCCCACTAGTGATGGAAGACCCACTAAGTGTAAATAAAAGCATTCCATACTTCACAATAGGTGATAAGGATCATTTACCTAGGGAAAAACAAAGAAGCATCTAATGTGCACGATGCAACCTGCCCAAAAAGAATATGAATGGATGGGTCCGGGCAAGTATAATTTGTCTGCTGAGACCAAAGGTTTTTGGAACCAACTACTTTCTTTGGAACTTGGACAATGCAAATCAAGAATTCTTCCCTCTTTGGTGAGTATGTATGTGGTGTGAATGTGTTGAATGCATAAGACTCCTTTTATTACCAATAGGTAATAAAGTATATTAATTCTGCATTTATCAACATTTATATATCTAGTAGTCACCTTTTTGTGACATACGGTAACCACCTGTTGGGAACAACACTGGATTTTTCTCTGTGGACAGAAATTTGGACCAGATCTTTAAGTTCCTTTCCAACTTTAAGTAAAGTAAAATAGGAAACAACAGCTCTTGAGGGTTTAAATAGGGCATATCTACCATAGTCTTTCGAGACTGAAGGATGGGTTTAATAGGGCATATCTATGCATGCTTGCCCAATTGACCACTCCTGATATTTGAAGTCTAAACCTAAGAATTCTAATGCCATTATTTTCTCCAGTATTTTTCATCATTGTTTCTGTGCAAATTACGTACTTTGCAACTCCATCTGCATTTGCTGGACCAAATCTTGAAGTTTCCCTAGAAAAAGTGGGAGGTCAAATTGTAAAGCTTTCTTGATTCCACTCTGTTTCCACATCTGAATGATTCCTCTCATTCTGTTTTGGAAGATCCCTGCAGCTTCCTGGAAAACTCTTAAAGGCCAACTGACAGCATCGTGGAGAAATTCTATGTGCTGCACCTACAGGCAAAACACCCACCCACACATAATCACACACAATTCAGAAAGTGTTGTGGAACTAGTACACACAGCATCATACTGGTCAGATTTTTTTGCAAAGCAGTCTTAGGGCTTTCAAAGTGAGTTAGATATTTAACAAGCAGTTTGGCTGGGTCCAACCCCTTGAGTTTCAATGGCCAGGATCCTTGACTGTCACTCTGTCCACTACACCTAATCGTTATAACAGATGTGGAGAAATGGATTTCCCCCAGCAATTATATATTGTTCTGAGCAATCCTATTGTAAAGCAATAGGACTGTATTTAAGGGCTTGGTCTTCAATGGGCAGTTAAGACTTATAAGCTTTACAAAAGAACTGCTCTTGTTAGTGATGAAAATTGCAAAAACTAGTTGGTTGACAGGGGCATTTTTTGACTCCTCTTTGGGCATGTGGCTTTGAGGGGTGTCATAGTATGAATTCCATTGCTCCAAAATGGATTACTGTTTGATTACAAGTTTCTCCGTGTGTATGGCCACACACACACTTTGGAGAGTTGAAATATAGTACTGTCTGGGAGAAACATGCAGTTTCATTTGATTTATTAATAGCCTGATGAGCAAGTGAGAACTAATGTTGTATGGTAAGGTGATGACGGCGAAATCCCAGGTTCAAATCTCCACTGAGCCCTGAAATTAGCTGGATGGATCCGGATCAGCCTAATATACTTTTCAGGACTTTTCTGAGGATCAAGTAGGGAGTAGATTGTATTTTAATTTTTTAAAGAATATGTTCCATTTTCACAACGAAGAAGGGCTGGCTCTAGCACTGGACAGAATGAAGTGGCCACCTCAGGTTGTAGTCAAGGTGACAAGGTTTCGTTTAATGTACCACATGATATGCCTGGAGCAGTTCCTATGTTGCCTTAGCTGTGGCAGAAAGACTGGGTCCTACTGACCGCACTGAAAATGTCAGATTCAGCTGTTAGCCTACCTGAATTTTGCACAAAGAAGATGCTGTCCTGTCATTCATTTCAGGCAGCAAAATCTCTTGCCTGTTTTTACAGGGCAAAACACATTTCGAGCTAGTCCTGAGATTCAGTATTAACATAATTCCACCTTCCATGAAATGTGATGCTGTGCAGTTTACAATTCAGGGTGTCCATTTCTTACCAGCTTTTGAAAATCCTGAAGGCGTTCCTCCAAATTTCTGATCTTTGCCACCAGTCTGTACTGTAGATCTGCCACAATCTCACTCAGTTTTAACTGTAAGAATAAAAATATACTTCAATTACAGACTTCAGTAAACCACATTTTTGTACTAAAGGTACAGGTTGAGTGACTAATGAGAGGCCACCAGTCAAAATAAGAGAGCACCCACAATACCCTGATATAAAATAAGAAACTGTTAATGAGAAAAACCAAATGTAAACTTCAAGGAAGTGTAAGTAAGAGATGTTCGACATATACACAAAGGAGTTCTGGACATAAGTTGTCTGTTTTGAGCTTCCCAAAACTTGCTGCTAGGTGAATCACATCGGCCCTCTGAAATTCACAGTTTTGAGCTGTGTTGTACACTTTGGAGAAACAAACAAACCATAGCATGTGTACATTTTAAAAATTAAACTAGCTGACACTATTACAGCTAGAAAAGATGTGAAAACATGTTTTACACAATGTTAAAAAATGGGTTGAAATATATAAAATTTCTGAAAACGCATAAAGAAAATGCATACAAATATCCATGGGAGTTTGAGAAGGGAGAAGAATACTGCTCAGATTCAGAAGCATGTAATGAAATCAAGATTGAGAGTTTTCCACATCACTTATTGGTATTAAATATCTATTGTGGCTATTGACCAGTCAATGAAAATCATGCACAAAAATAAAGTACACAAGTGTGTAAACAAAGGCAAATCCAGCCATTCTGAGCAAAAACAGTTTAAAACTAAAAAGTTTCTTGTGCTTGTGCCCTGATTGCAGCATAAAATAACTGTGCAAGCAACAGAGTAAAAGAGGGAAATGTGCCAGGGAAATGACAGCATACGCAATTGTGATACGAATGCCAGTAAAGCGGGGCACTCTGATGACTGGCTTGAACTTTCTCACAAGGAGGTCAGAAAGCAGCATGTTCCAATGGGCAGGTAAAAATGAAGCCTTGCACTTGGAGAGTTCGAGGTTTCTGTAACAATTAGCCACCTTCAACCCAAATGGATAGAGATTGTTCAAACTCTCTTATTTTATAAAAGCCGTAAGGCACTGGTATGCTGTGTTGAGAAAGGATTTCACACTTAACCTTTAAAGCAGAATGGATAACTCTCAAGAGGCTGGGGACCATATACACCCACCTCTAGATCTTGGTGGTGGTGGGGGTAACACCTACGCTCCTGGGTTCCCTAACACAGAGGTCCCCAACCTTTTTATCCCCGCGGACCAGCTGGGGAAGGCAAGGCACCCCCCTGTGCTCGTGCGCATACGCAAATGGTGGCGCAGCGCTTGTGCAGGTGCGCGCGCTCTTGCGTGCAGCCGCAAATGGGCTATTCAGGGGGAGTGCATGCGGGGGTGAGGGGGGAGGTCTCTCTCTCTCCGCGGCCTGGTCTGGCTCAGGCCACGGAGCAGAACCGGTTTGCAGACCGGGGGTTGGGGACCTCTGCCCTAACATATCTTTTTTTCTGTAAATGAAAAAGTCTCCAGGTGTCCTCTAGTGGCTGGGAGTTATTTTTCTTAAAAATAAATAAATATTGAGGTGGATGGGTGAGATGAGTGATTCTGGGAGGCCTCCATCATTGCAAAGGCACGAGAGGACTTTTTGAGCAATTAAAATAAAAACATATGCATGCATGTGTCAAAGCAGGGATACCAGAAGCTGCATTTGCACCCCATAGGCCATAGTTTGCCCATCCCTGTTTCAAAGAGAACTCAGTAGCCACCATTTTTTGAGGACTATAGTATGTCTTCAAACATTTCAGCGAATATTTCAAAGAGACACAATAAAGTAGGAGGCAAATTTGGCAAAGTATGGCCCTCCCAAAAAATTCCTGGCTTGTTGCGCTGATAATTTTTTTTTAAAAGCCAATTTTAATAATCTGAGAACAAGGATAAGTAAGGTGCCATGGCAGGACTATTTGGCTACAAAAAAGGCAAATGCTATTTTAGGCTGCATTAATAGAAGTACTGTATAGTTTCCAAATCCTGCAAGGTGCTAGTCCCTCTCTATTCAGCACTGATTAGGCCCCACCTTAAGTAGGACACCACACCAATATTTCAAAGAGACACAATAAAGTGGGAGGCAAATTCTGCCAAGTATGGCTCTCCCAAAAAATTCCTGGCTTGCGTGGCTGATAATATTCTCCTACAAAGAGTGGAGAAAGAAACTAGAGAAATTGCTGTCCTTGACTTGATTCTGATCAACAGAGATGACTTGGTGGGGGAAGTGGCAGTAAGGGGAACTCTAGGCGAAGGTGACCATGTCCTTCGAGAAGTCTCGATTTCAAAGGAAACTAAAGTAGAGTGTAGCCACACAGGTCTGCTGATTTTTTTAAAAAGCCAATTTTAATAATCGGAACAAGTTCAGAGGAGGGTGACAAGGATGATCAGGGCTTGGAAACCAAGCCTTAGGAGGGAAGGCCGAAAGAATTGAGCATGTTAACCTTGAGAAAATAAGTCTGAGGGGTGATATGATAGCACTTTTCAAATTCTGTATTTTTATTGTATTTTAATTGTTTTATCTTTTTATTGTATTTAAATTGTTGTAAGCTGCCCAGAGACCTTTGGGTAGTGTGGGCAGCACATAAGTGAAACAAACAAACAAATAATTGAAAGGCTGTCATACAGAGGAGGGGCAAGATCTGTTCTCGATCATCCCAGAGGGCAAGGCTCAAGTTACAGGAAGCCAGATTTTGCTTGAAAAATGTCCTAACTGTTAGAGCAGTACGACAGTGGAACCAGTTACCTTGGGAGTTGGTGAGTGCTCCAACACTGGAGGCATTCAAGAAAAACTTAGAAAATCCCCTGACAGATATGCTTTGATTGTATTCCTACCTTGAGCAGGGGGTTGGACTTGATGGCCTTGTAGGCCCCTTCCAACTTCACTGTTCTAGGATTCTATAAATATGACCACCGACCATACTATCTTGGGGATTCTGGGAACTGCAGTCCAAAAAATTAATATTTCCAAACTCTGTTTATGAAAAGCATTGGATAAGGATGATTGGAGTGAATATAAAATGGACTGTGCCTGTCAAATGCCTGTTTTTGAAAATGGCACACCTCAGTTTTATCAACTGGATCTTGACAACTGTGGGCTTTCAAACTCAAGGTGTAGTTGGAAGCTTCTAGAGCCAGGTATCCTAATTCTTCACGTCTTTGTCCATTCACAAGATGGGCACTGAGAGCAGCACGGTGCTGGCCATCAGCACAAGCGGCGAGCTCCAGTCTGTCTTCAGAATTCCCTGTGAGGAAAAAAGGAGGCGAAGCTGAAGCTTTTCATAGATGCCCTCTTTCAGGTTTTTAAAATCAATCGAAGGAATAAAGTGGCATCCTCAAAAGAACCGAAATCAGCAGCAGAGAAACTTGAAAAATAGGAAATAATAACAGGCTACATCTGCATCGTTATTATTTTCATGGTGTATACTCAGTTAAAAATGAACTGCTTATACAATAGTACCTCGGTTTACAAATTTAATGCATTATCCAGAACATTACTGTAGCTGACATCCTGACTTCCCAACAACCTGGGGGTACACAGGAAAGAGGGTGCACATCACAGTTACATAATGCAAAAAAATTGTAAACCGAAACGCAGTTTGCCATAGTAACGGGGGTGGCGCTATAAGCCTGCAGGCACAATTCATCCTTCATACTGTGGGGGAAAAATCATAAACTGAGGCATTATTTTCAATGGATTTCCATTCGTAAACCGAAAATTATGTTAACCGAGGTGCTCATAAACCGAGGTACTACTGTATTCATTATATACATACTGTGGACATGGATTTAGCTAGCTTGTAAAGGGCTGATCAAGCAACTCACCAATTAGCTGAATCTACTTCCACAGCTGCAGTTGTGCATATAATAATTTGCAATAGGATTATGGCCATAATATCTACACAGATATACAGAGAGAATTTAATACACTGCTAAATATAACATTTCTACATATAAATAGAAACAAAAGTGAAACCCAGATATTAGTTAATGTAAAAATAGGATGTTTCTCCAAATCAGAACTAAAGAAACCCACTATTATCAGCATGCTGATATCCACTTCTGATTTACTTGTTAAATTCTTATCCTATTATTCCTCCAAGGATTTTAGAAAGCTGAGTATGGATCTTTCCCTCTTCCTCTATGCCCACGACAACCATAAATTAGTATGAGAAAGCTTCATGGTTGAATAGAGAGGTGAACTGTGGTTTCTGCCCTACTATTCTAACCGACTAACCCAGGCCTCATTGTCAGCTCCTTCCCAGATGGCTGGATTGTAGTAACCATCATCTCCTGTTAGCATGGTTAAACTGCCCTGGTGACTACAGCACCCAACTTGCTTTTAGTCTGAGGGACATCCTATTCAGACCTTAGTCACCCCACAAGAAGAAGAAGAAGAAGAAGAGTTGTGCTGTAATGGGGCAACTTTAGGCCAAAGCTTCTCTCGGAGGAATGAGAGAGGCAATAGGGTCCCTCCATCAGCGGTTTGGGTGACTCCCTCTCCTTTGGGGGGGATGACCCTTACCGCAAACCCAGGTGGCGTCCATGGTCCATTCCGCCTACTTTCATCTATGGTGGATTGCCCAGCTGCAACCATATCTTGATCGGGGGGCCCTCACTACTCTAGACCACATACTGGTAATCTCAAGATTAGACCATTGTAACGCACTCTACGTGGGGCTGCCTTTGAGGTTGTTGCGGAATCTTCAGGTGGTCCAGAATGCGGCAGCCAGTCTTCTTAGTGGGGTGAGAAAATATCAGCATATCTCCCCCACTCTGGCTGCTTTGCACTGGTTGCCCATCGGTTTCCGCATTGATTTCAAAGTGCTAACGATTACATACAAAGCCCTAAACGGTTTGGGACCTCGATATTTGGCAGATCATCTTCTTCCACCTAGATCTACCCGAATCACCTGATATAGCCAGCAGGAACGGCTGAGGGGCTTAACGCCGAGAGAGGCCCGGAAGGAAAAAACAAGAAACCAGGCCTTCTCGGCAGTGGCCCCTCGGCTATGGAACACCCTCCCAACTGAAATTCGCCTGCCACCCTCGCTGGGTGTTTTCAAAAGCTATTTAAAAACTTGGCTCTTCAGGCAGGCCTTCCCTCCAGTCAATTAACTGATCCTTATTTTTCTTGCTTGAGTTATGCCAACTTGGTAATACAGTGGTGCCTCACATAGCGATGATAATCGGTGCAGCAAAAATCGCTGCTAAGCGATTTCGTCACTATGCGATTTTAAAAGTCCATAGAAACGCATTAAAACCTGTTCAATGCGTTCCTATGGGCTAAAAACTTACCTTTAAGCGAAAATCCTCCATACGGCGGCCATTTTCGCTGCCTGGTAAGCGAGGAATCCGTCCCTAAACAGAGCGGGTGGCCATTTTTTTTACCCGGCGGCCATTTTGGAACCGCCGATCAGCTGTTAAAAAATCATCGCTTTGTGATGATCAGTAAGCGAAACAGGGAACCGATCATCGCAAAGCGAAAAAAACCCATTCAGACCATCGCAAAGCGATCGCAAAAGCGATTGCAAAAAGTTAATCGCTATGTGATTTCGTTGTTAAACGGGGTGCCCGTTAAGCAAGGGACCACTGCATGCTGTTTAGAAATAAGTGTTAAATATGTGTTTTAGATGATTTTTATATTGTTCATATTGTTGTGTTTTTATTTATGTAAGCTGCCCCGAGTAGACGTTGTCTAGAGGGGCGGGGTATAAGCCTAATAATAAATAAATAATAAATAAATGTAGCAAAGCTGGGCTACTGCAGTTTGAAGAAAATGCAATAACCCACACAGGTGGCCATTTATACATCACCACAAAGGAGAGTATCCACTGCCGAAAAGGAAGACAAAAAACAAAAAGAAAGCTAATGCACATAAAATTGCATATGCTAAGTTATAAATACAGATGCAAAATTAAAAATGTTTTAATAATTTAATTAAAATTTCAGTGCATCCTACCCAAGGGGGGCAGAGAGCAACCAGGTGACATGTGCGTGCATGTGTGCGCTTGTATGTGTGCATGCCTGCTGGTTCTGCTGGCCACGTGCTGCTCACTATGTATGGGGAGCCTGAGGGTCTGTGAATTCCATCAGGGTCAGAGTGGCCAGCACTTTGATAGGCAGGAGGCTTTAAAAGGAGAGCTTTAAGACCTCCCTAAAAGAGGTTCCTTCCCAGACGGGCTGGGTTATAATTAACCCTTCATTAAACCCCCAAAGTCTAGAATTACCTCACTAAAGAAATGTACCAGAATGTACTGAAGCCTTTTATCCCTTCTAAATTTTCCCTGTCGAATCCCTAAAGAAATGTACCAGGATGTACTGAGGCCTTTTATCCCTTCTAAATTTTCCCTGTCAAGAATTTTACTTTTACTTTTCAAATTACCATTCACTTTTACCTTGTACCTTAAACAGCTGGTAATTCTGCCTCTCAACTCTAATTCTGACTCTAACCTTAGCCCTAAAATTACCACAGACTTTACATGTACCAAGTAATACTGAATTTTACCTTTCAGGTACCCCATGTTACACTGAACACATCTTTTTCCTTTGGAAGCAATTATTTTTATTTTCTCTTTGGGGTCAAGATTTCCCTCGACCAGGATTTGGCTTTGATCCTCTGAGGAAGTCACATTTCCCATTACACCCAGCCAAACAGTTCCAGATGCTTTTAACTGTGAAGACGGAAAAGGTCAGAAAAAGAATTCATGACATACTTTAAAAACTCAGCAAAAATCAGAAAAGGACCATGTGGTCTCCAAAACAATACAAATGCAGGAGCAAGTGTAAAGATAACATGGAATGGCTGGTCAGGGCCCCAACTGAAGAAGAACATGGATTCTTGAATGTCTTTGACTCTTGACACCTGCCAAGCAGTACTGCGTGCTGAAGGTAAAGCATCCACCAAGTGAAACTATTGATTTGGCTTTAATTTGGCTAAACCTGGCTATTCCTGATGAATGAATTATATTTTAATCCCAACTCTGGTGGAGGCTTGCCATGCCTCTGTGTTACCTTGTTTTCCCTAGTCAAATAAGAACTTTTTTGAGTTTCAAAAACAAGGTGAAGGGGGAGACAAGAATGCTTGGTGGCCTCTTCTTTAACAAGTTGGGTGATAAATTCCATGTTGCTGATGGTGGAGGGATTTGAAATCACACCCTTTCCCTTCAAGCCTTTTGCAGACTACATCTGTATCCATCTCAAGAAGCCAACCAACAAAGACCAGGAAACGTAGAGACTGGGGATGGATACAGATGTAGTCTGCAGTATATAAAATTATATACTGAATTCTATAGTTCAGTACATGATTTTCTGAACCATCCACAAGAACTTAGTGCACAGTCAGAAGAAGAAGAATTGTCATTGAAAACTAGCTATCTGCTGTTAGATTTTTTTTTGTGGTCTAATAAAGGTATCACTTGCTCCTGTATTTGTACTTTCAAAACTGGCAATTTTTTAACCTTCAGAATATCCTATGAAAACCACGATGGCCTAGTTTTTCACTGGAAAACCCTGGTGCATCTGCACTACACATTTCTCTCACGCTTGTGATACCATTTAAATTGTCATGGTTCCATCCTAAGGAACTTTGGAATTTGTGGTTTGATGACGTACTTAGCATTTGCTAATAGAGAGCTTCCTTGAAACACAACAACAGCAACAACAAAAATCTTGGCATCACATCCAACTAAATTTATGTCACTGAAAATTAATTTTAAAATATTTTTTGAAATAGCTTGCTGCACCAGTTCCTCACCTCAAGTGCTTCATTTCAAGATGTCTTAGCGCGGATATGTGTTTGTGAGAGTAAAAGGTTATAATATTATACATGGTTTGGAAGAAGTAAACTGGGAGAATGTTTCCTCTTGCTCATAATACGGCAACCTGAGGCTGTCCAATGAAAACTGAATAGTAGAAGATTCAGGACAGTAAAGAATTTTTTTTAAAAAAAATCAATAGTAAAGAATCAAAGACCCAAGTGAAAAATGCCCATCCAAATACAAGTTTGTTGTGGCAAGACGAAATAAAAAGACAGTTATAGATGTTTTTCCCCTATAGGGCACAGAGTTCCTTCAGAGAAGAATTGAGAAAATGGTCTCAGGAGAAAATATAGGCTTCAACCATTCCCTTTCTAGTCACTTTTAATTTTAAGAAGCAAAAAGGGAAACCTGATTATAATTTTTTTCAGGGATAATTTGGGGTTGGGGGACAAACTACAGTCAAGATTCTATTGTTTCTGAGACAAACAGCATAATATATATTAGCTTCAGGCTGGCAATCAACAAGTCCTTGCATGAATTTTCAGGTGGGGCATGCCAAAAAATCCATGTGACTCATTAATTAGCAGTGAGAAGCTGCTGCTTGCTATGCCATTTGCCTTACACAGGTGTAACTATCCAACAGGATTTTGACCTATATGTTGTACAGATATCTAACCATTTGAACTGAAGCCATGTTAGTCCTCCAGAGATGAAACTCTGTAAGAAGTTCATATCTGAGACTTGCATGAACACTCTACATTGCCTCCCTTCATTAAAAATAAAACACAGACACAATCCTCATTTCCTCGAAGCTGTGTACCCACAGCCAGTGTGGCCAGTACAGCCATTTGGTTCTGACTGAGGCCGGAACTCAGCGCTGGTGGAAAATTAGATGGAATGTTGGATGCAATCTAATTTTAAAACCACAGGAGGTATGAATAGTTCCTGCTCTGATAATCAGGTGCTCTTAGCGCTTAATTCTAATGACTGTACACAATAATACTGTATTTTTTGGTCCTCCACCACAGTGTAATTTTGACCACTTGGTAGCAATGCACTCTTATTGACAATAAAGAAGTGCAAGGTGTGATCAGGAGAGTAAATGCAGTTTGGACCGCCTCCCCTTTTTAAGATGATAACATTTCCCCACCACTGCCGTCTCCAAAATCTCCACCCTCTGTTTACAAATCCCAACAAATTGACCATAAATCTGCTTCCCAACCCACCTATGTTGAGTTCTAGGCCTCTGGAACCACAAGTCAGGGAGAGGGGGAAAGTAAAAAAATAAAGTTGTATTTATATCCAGCTTTTACTCTGAAGCTCATGGTGGTACGCAGTCCTTGTCTCCTCACCACAAGCCTATGGGAGAGGTCAGACTGAGAGTGAGCTTTCTGGCGAAGTGGTGCTTTGAACCCGGGTCTCCCATCTCTCCTCCTGGTCCGACACAATAAGGTATCCAATCTGCTCTTTACCCACTTGGATGCAAAGTGCCCACTCCCTAAAAATACCTTATTTATTTGTCCTTTCATTTCAAACAGAGGTAAAATGTTAATGATTATGACTTCCAAAAAAGTGTGTTTTATTTTCCCCTCGCAAATATTTGGCACACACATGCATATCTGTGGTCCAAACTCACAGAAATTTCTGTTGAATAGCTCTCCCCTTCCTCTTGGCTCTGATTCCTTATAGCCACCATCACCGACCCCTCATTGCCAGCGAGGCTGACTTTGCCTTCTGACTGCAAGAGCATTTTTCCTTTGTTGAGCTGATGCGTCCCAGAGAGGGTAACTATCTAGAAAAGGGAATGAAAATGGCAAGATGCCAGCATGATATCTTAAGAGCCCTGTTGGAACAGACTGAAGCCCTATACCAGGGATGAGCAATGTGTGACCTTCCGAATGTAATGGGATTGCAGTTCCCACCAGCCCCTTCCCCAGAGTATCTAACGGTATGGGACTGTGAGAACTGCATACGTTCCTCTGCCATTTCCTGTATAATCCAGACATCTATTCCCACTATAGCTGCTCAGATAGCTCAGTAGGTTGGAAACCTGCTTGCAGAGCCAGCAGTTGGGCGTTCAATTGCCTACTGTGCCTGCTTGTGCAAGAGCCGGCCTATGCAGTCCTGAGCAAGCTGCACGGTTCCAGAGCACCGCTGTTCTACCTAGAAAATCCTAGCAAGGATCAGCATAAATCAGAATAGATTTGATACCATATTATTGTTCTTATTATTCTCCCAGTGGCCAACCTGCCTATGGGAAGGTCAATTTGCCAGTAGGACTTCAACTGCCCCACAATCTGTAATCAGTGCTGTCTACCCACAGGATTTGTCTACCCACTGAGTTCAATGGTACTTATTCCAAAATAAGTATGCCTTGGAGTCACATGGGACTTAATAACATTAGGAAGGCCCTCCTGGGTCAGGCCAAAGGCCTTTCTATTGAGTCCAATCTTCTCCGGAGGGAATTGGCCAACCAATTCCCTGTGGGAAACCTGCCTGCCAGATATAGGTGTGTCTGCACTCTTTGCTTCACGTTCCCCACTGACTGGTCTACAGATATGCTTGTCCCCTGTTCTTTTACTCCTCACTCAGCAGGGATAAGGTCAGGCTGTCAGCCATTCAATCTGCATGCATGAGAGCAGCAATACCATGTCGCTTGCGTTTTGAAAGGTGCAGGTGCTGAGGCTCATGTCATGATTAAGCCAAGATGAGTAGTCTGTTTCAACTTTTCCCAGAAGATACTGACTGGAACATGACGTCAAAAAGACATTTTCCAAAATGGCTTCTACTTGCATTTTATCCTGATGCAACAGCTTGTTTTTCTGCATTAAAACCAAACAGCCAAATAAAATTCTACAGTATTTGTTTATGGAGAAGATGGAATAGAAAGATAAAACGACTTCTAAAAGTACGTGTATGCTATTTAAACCCTGGAGCATTCATAACCATTTAAATATGTAAATGCTGTTTAAACTTTGTTCTACAGAGGAAGGATGCATAAACAGACCTGCTTTTCTTTACCTCATACGTCAGATTTTGTGTGAATTTTTTGCTGTCCCACTGCAGATCTATGTGCTGATTAAACAAGGAGGCTGTCTGCTCAAGTGACCCACAGGCCTCAAACCTTGCAATGGCCAGGATGTTTTGGAGCTGTCAAAATGAAGAAAATGAAGCAGTGGTTACTTCGAGTGATGTTGATCAAAGAATACAAAGCAACTCCTAGGAGTGCTAAGGGTAAAATACTGCAGGAGCTGCAGTCTAAAACCTCTGGATGGCCAAATGCCCCCCATTGCCTTAGATAGTATTGCTGGCCTCTGAACATCTGGATCAGACTCCCAGCCATTGCCTGCTTTAGAGGACCCCTCAAAGAAAGTATGCCACCTCTTCTACGATTGTACCTGGTGAGAAGAAACTATCATACAGGCATCCCAAAGCGCGACACTGGCCTTAGACTTGTCTCCAAAGGTGAATTTCAAATGGGATGGCTGTCCATCATTCCAATCAAACTGCATCTTGGGAGGGGGGAAGGGGGAAAAAAAGAAGGGTCAGAAAACTGCATAGCACCCCAACATGCACAGAAGACACCAATGTCTTGCTCCCTCATGCATGTTGACCCAGCATAGGTCAGATTAAGCTTTATGTGTCTAGTGCACAATTGTTAAAGAGAAAAAACATCTTGGGCGAGAGGTTAAAAAAAGACTTGGTAAATGTAATGCAGCACCACAAACAGGGCTCAACACACATGGATTTAAATCCCAAACTGAAAGAAATAAGGACTCAAAACCCTATCCTTCCTGGATAGATGAAACCGTTAATCTTAATTTCTCCCACATTATTTCATGAAATGGCATTTCTTTAAATGGCACCCAGAATAGGAAAAAAAGAGAGAATTTTGTATATTTTGGTTAATTCTTATTTAAAGAGCACAATGAAATGAAATTCTCACCTGTCCTTAGCTGTTAATCTTTTCTTAGCCTGTTCTGTCAGCTTACCTGCTGATTGTAGGAGCCTCTTTGGCTCTCGGTAAGGGAATGGACCTCAATACGGTTCATAGTGAAGTTAAAAGGGTGTGCAAGGACAGCATAGAAATGGGTGTGTTCCTTCCCACGCTTGAGAGAAGAGGAGACTAATACCTGTTGTAATCATCAGAAACGAGAGGTTATCAATGGAACTGCTAAGGCTAGCTTTCTACAAATAACATTTACAGCAAGCCCGAAGCTGAGGAAACTTAGCTCATTTGGGATCAAATTTACAGACTCCCTAGCCAGCATTGCCACAGGCTGTTGAATTCTAGGAGTTGTCCAAGGACCGGTTGCATGAGTTGTAACTTTAGTTTCCCCTTTCAGCCTGGCCTCTTCTGTTACCTGCTCCTTGGTATCCCAGCCAATGAGAACAGCATCCCTGTGACTATGTGCTGAATGCTCCATGGACAGGCGGAGGGTGGAACGCTGAGGAAAAGGGACTGAGAAAGGATGGCAGATCTCCACTGCAAAAGGCAAAAGAAAACCACATTTCCTGTTAAAAATACTTCTCTTCAGCTATCTGCTCCACATGTGCTGTATGGAAAAGCCAATCGTGCATCCTTACAGTCTTCTGCTCTGAGGCCTGGCCTGGCTTCCCCTACCTCACAAGGTACCAGCTGGGGTAGTAAGCATCCATCTTTAATTTCCAGGATGCCTTGGAATGATACTGCCTCAGGTGCATTAGGGGAATACGACAACACAGCTGCTTGGCTGCCCTTTGGCATGTGTGGTTTGCCTGCGGAGCTGGATCGATAAATGAGAGCATCTACTAGAAGGCATTCTCGGAGGGCTTCAGCCCACCTTATTACCTGAGTTGTCCGCATGAAAGTGGCTGCCCTACAGGGCTCTCTGTCTGCACAGATGGGTTGGAATCGCCCACTTCTCTCTTGCTAAGGTTGCTATGCAATCCCAAAGGGGTGGGCAGTTGGTTTCTTGCTTTTTTTGGCTGTCTTCCTGTTTCAGACTGCAGATTTGCTCCCCCCCACTTAGAAAACCCGTTTGTCTTGTACAGAATAGATGGCTGAGACGGATAAAGTCCAGCAACATACCGAAAGCTACCCCGGCTCCACTTGCTTCTCTCTCCACATTCATGAGAGTTTTTGAAACCTACCTTTCAAGTCATGACCTCCTCCGGACAGCTTGGGGAAGGGGCCAGTGTAGCTGCCTGTCACGTTCACCTCTTGGCCGTCCCATAAGGCCACACAACTCAACATTTGGCTCCGCTTGCTTTTTTGATAAGCTGTTGTGAGAACCATTTCTCTTGGAAGGGCTGTGAACTAAATCCAGAGAGGGGAATATTAACCGGCACCTCACTGGGTCTTCCAGGTCTATGCATATCTCAGTTCAGAAATAACATGTGGCTTTGTTACATGGTGCAGATTCAAATCCTGCTTTGTGCTGCATTCTGCTGTGGATCTTGCTGTGACTAGAAAAATGGGTGCTTGGAGACTCCATTTTGTACCACAAGACAGTGGTTTGTAATACTCAGATTTTTTTTAAAAAAGTAACTAAAAAACCTGTTGCACTTGCCTTTGATAAGCAGGAAGGGTCAGTTACTTTTTATAAAGCAAAACTATAATTATGCCTTTTTTTGCAATCTAGAAATAATAACTATAACTAATTCAAAGCTTGGAAAGGCTAGCTTCTGGACTATATCTCTCAAAATCCTGCAATTACAGGAACACCAATAATTCCAAATGGCAAATTACTTTTAATTCCAAGCTTTGCCTTCTTCCCTCTCCTCCAATAGGGCTGGGCAGAAAAATAAATTAGAATTCTTTCCCATTTGCCTTGATTGCCTTAGAGTTGTGGTTGAAAATGTTACCAACTGATCTGCATGTTTTGGAAAGTTCCTTTAATAAAAAAGGTGCACAACTGAATAATTTAAAAATATTCTCAGATTTAAGAGATGGATTAGACACATTCTGGGGACTGAGGGCTTCACTAACTCACCAAGGACTGCAGCGCTGCCCAAAAAGCAGGGGCTATGTCTATCACTAAATTGACTGCTGCCTAAAGGTAAAGGGTAAAGGTTCCCCCTTGACATTTTCAGTCCAGTCGTGTTCGACTCTAGGAGGCAGCGCTCATCCCGCTCTTCAAGCCATAGAGCCAGCGTTTGTCCGAAGACAATCTTCCGTGGTCACATGGCCAGTGCAATTTAGACATGGAACGGCGTTACCTTCCCACCGAGGTGGTCCCTATTCATCTACTCGCATTTGCATGCTTTCGAACCGTTAGGTTGGCGGGTGCTGGGACAAGCGACGGGCGCTCACTCCGTCCCGTGGATTCGATCTTGTGACTGCTTGGTCTTCTGACTCTGCAGCACAGAGGCTTCTGCGGTTTAGCCCACAGCGCCACCACGTCCCCTACTGCTGCCTAAGTTTTGTCATATATTTGTCTTTATATATTGCTGGAAGGAGGAAACCCACTGACTGTGTCGTTCAGAATAATTTCTAGTGTACATTGGCAGTTAACACAAAAGTATAGTAGGATGCCTTAGCTGTGGGATCAGTATCTATTGATTCACTTATCCATGGTCTGACAAATTTACAAAATATTAAAAGAAAAATCCTAGAAATATATAAGATGAAGTTACCAGAATTGGCCACAGGCAGAGCCAGAGACCGTGCGTGTGCTTTAAAATAGTGTTTGCTATAGTCTGCCTTTTTCAGCATCCAATGGTGGGCTTCAAACCAATCCCCTGTGGATATGGGGGTCCTACTGTACTTGTTGTCGTTTAGTTGTTAAGTCGTGTCCGACTCTTCGTGACCCCACGGACCAGAGCATGCCAGACCCTCCTTGTCTTCCAACTTACCACAGTTAAAATATTGCCTACACCTCTTGCTCAACTCAACAGATCTACTCCTAATGGTGAAACCTCCACTTTCCCCAGAAAAGAAAGTTTGCTTCTGTCCTCTTCATTCTTCACAACAAGAGCTTTCAGCTCTTCGCCTTTTTTGCTTATGAATTTCACAATGATTCTATATATTTTCTTTGGCTACCTGTCTCTGGGATCTTGCCGCGGCCATTTCTATAATATTCTAGTAGTCAGTCAAACAAAAATGCTAACAAACCTAAGAGATTTTCCACCCATGCACAAGCTGTCTCAACACATTTCTAAGAAGTAATGTTATTTATTTGTTAGTTTGTTTCTCATATATAAACAACATGGGAGAAAAGAAATCAGTTCTGAACTTGTTCAAACATATAGTGAAAGATCTAGAGAATACAGTGGTGCCTCACTTAACGGCGATAATCCGTTCCAGGAAAATCGCCGTTAAGCGAAAACATCTTAAA